TTACTAATATTATCAATATATCCGCAGAGTAAACACCACTATAGAGCCACACTTCTATGTCGTTAATATCTCAAAACAGTTGTCTTTTCTCTTCGGTTTGCTACAAAAATTAAAATCGTTATGGACTGTCTGTATTTTTTGTCTACAGATAGCTTCAACTATAGACTATTTAGCTAATGACAATAAGTAAACGCTTCTCTTAAGAAGAAATGCTTCATTTCATTTATTATTTGTTAGAAAGCCTTTAGAATGTGATATAAGATTCGACTTCCTAGAAATACCTATACAAAGAACGAAATCTTATAAGGAATGAGAAATGGGTTCCTAGCAGTTCACCGACAATTAGGTACTACTCTTATTTAGAAAGGCGAGGCAATGTGTTGTACACTAAGTTTTAGCAAAATCTCGGTTGATGAACATCATTTTAAGGTGAAAGTATTATAAAAGCTCATATGGGTTATATAGGAAGCGTGTGAGTGAAAGGGCCAAACTTTTTCTAATTTACATTCCACCCACACCGCTCTTTTCCATCACTTCGTAATAATTATATACATAATGATTTACAGTAACATGTTATTTCAAAGACATCCTTCATAAATACTATTAATAAAAAACAGTATGGGTATTATTCGAGGTTTACTTGTAATAGTAGGATATTTACTATAGAGATACTTTTTGTGAAAATATACTCTAGTTTGATAACTCATTAACAATATTAAATGAGAAATTTTTTCTGTATCTGATATAATATCAAAGCTACTCAGTCAGTTTTCTTCCCTCATTTCAGAGTATTATTAGATGATGGTGCAATGATTTATTGTACATTTTATTAGGCATGTACCGAGCCCGAGCCCGAGAGGCTCGGTCAAGGATCGGGTTCGGTACATCCCTACACTTGATAATAATATCACTCTCATATGATGTAGTGATTATTCTTATTTCATATTTTCAAATATCTATTTAGTTTTTCTTATTTTCTTTTTAATTTGTAGATTTTATTAAGCTTTTTATTCCACACTATTAATTAATCGAGATCTATTGATTTATTTCTTTATTATACAATGTTTTCACGTAAACGAGTAGTAGCAGGAATAAATGCACACAAAGAATCACAATTCATGACTTCAGGACGAACAGAAGCCGTTGCTTCATTTGTTCAACAACGGATTTGGCTTCATGAAAAACTTTATTTTCATTCTTCTGACTTGTCCGTCTACAATATTTTAGTTCCATTAATAATCAAACAAGGTTCATTATCAATCGAACGTATTCGTTCAATTGTACTTACATTAATTGAACAGCATACTGTTCTTCGTACTGCTGTTCGTTTTAATACACAAAGTAATAAAATCGAACAATACATTCAGGCTGCTACCAATGATATTTATTCATTTATACATTCACGTGGTATTTTCACATCAAAAGAACTTGATCGACTTCTTACAAGTGAATCGGTAGGCAAACACTTTGATGTCGAAACAGGAAGATTAGTGAGATGCCATATCATCCAAAGAAGTGATAATGATCATGATGGTTTATTATCTGAAGGTGATCTTATTGTCATTACATTTCACCACATATCGTTTGATAATAGTTCACTTAAACCACTTCTTGAAGCATTTAAAAAAGCTTGTTGGACTGATCCTTATCAACAACCAGTATTATCGACTCCACAATATATCGATTTTACACTATATGAACAAGCAATGTTAGCCGATACAAGTATCGACTCAAAAATGAATAAGGCACGTCAGTTTTGGTCCAATCTTATGAGTGGTTATGATTGGAATCGAATACGACAGTTGGTACCTGGCGAAACCGATGCCAAGCAGATTCGTTCAGGTCGTGGTTTTTCAACTACATTTTCTATCAATCAACATGTCGTCGATGCGATGATGTTATATGCTTCCTCAAATAATTTCACTATGTTTGCATTGTCACTTTGTTGTTATTATGCATTCTTATTCAAGTTAATGGATGATGACGATTTATGTGTAGGAGGTAACATAGCCAATCGATTTATAAAACAAACAAAAGACATGATTGGCATGTTCGTTAATCTTGTACCGTATCGAATGAAAATTGACCCGAACAAGACATTCGATCACCTGATGCAAAAAGTACAACAGCTCAGTAGTAATGTTCTTGAACATGCTTGTTTACCTTATCAGCTTATTATTAATTCATACGATCAACGAGAGCATCAAGTGTTACCTTCAACGTTATTTCATTATGAATCGTTGATGTCATCCATAACACAGAGTAGTAACTTGGAGATAAGTACAGATGAAGGTTTTGCTCTTGGTATCTATTTTGATCGAGATCGATCTCATGGTAATGGAACAGCATTGTTTGATTTGTCTCTTACAATGGCCCATGATCATTATTCACGACGCACGGAGTGTTTTATGGATTGTTCAAGCGATATATTCCAAGGTCAAGCCGATGTTGATCTACTTGCCAATCGTTTTCAACATATGCTTACACAACTCTTCAGTTCTACAACAATCCATGAGCAAATGCATAATCAATCCAGTATGCCTATCAGCAAATTATCAATTATTTTACCAGAAGAGATTGAAGAAATATACGGAGTAATCTTTCGTAGATTACCGAATATTGCAAATGAAGGTTCGTTTTTCTATTTTTTCGAATGTTTGAGTAGATAATGATGAACTTTGGGTAGATGTACTAAGATATGAGATTTGTTTTTAATGAAATCTTTGACAATAATATTTCAAATAATCTAACCCATTAGCAAATGAATACAGAGAATGAATCAAGTAGAAATAGTCGAGTAATAGAATAAGTTCTGTATTGATTCATATTTTAAACATCGAACTCATGGAATAAATGATAGAAGTTAGAATACTTTATTTTCAAATAAAGAGCAGCTGGGATTTAGATTCAAGTTTCTACAGAGATTAGATTGAAATACCAAAATTAAATGTTCTTCTGTTTATCGAAACTAATTATATAATTCATATATAAATTTAAATGACTTTATAATGAAAAAGATCAGGAGAGTGGTGCCTATGTATTACTTCAATAAAAAAAACATGTATTCGAAATATTGTTGGGTTTGCTGCTAATAAGTTTTCAATCAACTTTCATGAGATCGAAGTCAATTTGTAGGTCAAACTTGACAAAGTACATCGAGAGTGTTATTAAAACCATGAGAAAAGAACTAGATATGATCTCTGTCAAGGGAGAAAAAGCGGATCCTGGTGGATCCTCATGAATGTTAGGATCTAAAAAATTCAGAGGATCCGGGAATCAACGATCCGCTATTTTCCTCTTGATCCCTGTAAATTAAAATTTTAAAATATAAAGGATTATGTTACTGAATACTCGAAAAACTGGACTGGAGAATTTTGTGTAGAGAAAGTATTATAGAACTAATCAAGTTTTGTAAATTTTGACCACAACCTGTTGAAAATAGAGTATGAATGTTTCCAGCTTACATCATCAATCAGTAAAATTGAAACATGGCCGTTGCTTCACTATTGTATAAGTAGAAAAGGGTGCAACATGAGTTTTGCAGTACCCACAAAACGTCAGTCAAAACGATATTTACTAAATTTGGACACAGTTTTCACTCTCAAGACGGTGCTCTATGTACGCGTTAATCATGTGATTCAATCTATAAACTATATTTAAGGAGAATAGATGCTGCTAAAAGTATACGATCAAACTCGCGTGTTCCTTTGTAATCCATATATTTTATTCAGCTTTGTAAACTTTCATTGTTTGTCTAAATACTTCCATCTTCCGAGGATTCAAACTGAATTTTTTTTTGTTATAGCACCAGCATCCTATGCACAAGCTCGTATTTGGCTTGATGAACGA